TGTGAACCAAAAAAATGTTCATATCATATTAAAAAGATGTTCATCATCCATTAGAAAAAAAAACTATATATTGTGTATTTCAATAAATATTTTTAAAAAAAATATTCATCATGTAATTAAAAATGCTCAGCATAAGTAAAAAAGTGTTCATGTATTTAAAATGTTATTATAAGAAGGGAAAATAGCGAGAAATTAAATAAATAAAAGGGAAATTATAATAAGATATAATTAAAATGGGTACTGAGCTGGCCCATGCGGGAAACTAAGTTATATCTCTCTCTCGCAATCAGCGGGGTAATTTCCGAAATCACTAGCTAGAGGGTACCCTTTGTAAAGGTCATTCTCACTTTTCACTCGAGGTGACAAGAGGCACACTGATTAAGCCAGACATGACACAACATGGGCGTTTTGTGCAATTTTCATTCATCCGGTTTTCAACATGTTTTATCTCTTGAACCGTGCATCCAAATCACAAACCGTCTTCATTGTTGTGTTTCCCGTGTTGAGATCTACAAAACTAGACATGAAATCCTCAAGTAGGTTTGGGTGATTCTTTTTCCCCAAAACAGGAAAAAATCAGAAATGAAAAAACTGAAAAATAATAAAAACTTAAAACAAAAATGGTAAAAGAAAAAACCTAGACCTGAAAAAAAGTGAATAGCACAACCGTGCTATTCACTTTGTTGGAAGCAATTGTGTTTCCCAAAAAACACAGCTATCCTTTTCACTTTTTTAAAAAGCACATATATGCTTTACGTCAAAGAAAAAATGTGGTTTTTGACGAAGCCCAACTTTGGTTTTCACTTTCAAAAGGCACAATTGTGCTTCACAGGAAAACACTATGTGCTTCTCAAAGAAGCACATATGTGTTTTCCGCATGATGTGCTTCATGGGAGAAAAACAAAATTAGTTTTTCAAAAATCACGAAAACTTGGGAAAACCCAAGAAAAATGCAAACCTCAAAAAATGTGCGCAAAAATAAAAAAAGATGATCGCATGGCATGTGTCGACTGAAAACGCTCCATGCGCGCTAGCAATACCCATAGGGAAGCCCTCTGGGGTACTCGTTAATTATTCCACCCCGGGTATTCCTAGCTGACATGGATTACGTCCAACTATCGACGATTCGCACATGGACGAGCGAGCGAGCGACCAAGTGGGCATGCACATTTCAGCAGTAAGCTGAGGGTTTTTTTAAACCTTCTAGAAGGTTTCAAGCTGACTTTCATCAGTTTTGTGATCTTTCTAGAAGGTTCCTTAACCTTTTTTTTTTTACTTTATGTTGCTTTCTATACTGGTTTTTTGGTTGTTTTGTTTCTCTTATTTTCCTGTTTTCTTTCTGTTCATTCTTTTTTTGTAAATTTTATAATTTTCAAAATCATGAACAATGTTCATAATTTCAATTTTTAGTTTATTTTTTAAAAAATAAAAATCATGTTTTGAAAAAATAGGAAATTAGAAAAATCTTGTTTTCAATTTTTTTATGAATCTAAGTTTTTGCCTTTTCAATAATTGTTCAGGAATTTAAATAATGTTTGTATTTCAAAAAAATGTTGGCATTTAAAAATGTTTCTTTTAAAATTTGTTCACAAATTATAAAAATGACCATAATTGTTCCTTGCCCCAAAAAATCCTCAATTTCAAATATTGGAATTTCTAAAAAAATCATACTTGAAAATTTTTTATGTAGTATTAAAATGATTTCAGTTTTTCAAAATACTATTTACTTTCAGACCAACTAAAAACCAACTGCTAGAGTAAAAGGGGTTATACTTAGCCGCGTTCAAAAAAATAGAAAGAAAACGTGCAGGAGGGAAATGCTTTATATGGGCTGGCCCGCTCGAGCTCACCTATGTGAATGCCCGACTATTTGCCATACAGAGCAGCAAATAGTGGTTCCCGATGGGATATTACCATTCACACGGTAAATACGGCCACCGACCCACTGCGAGTCAACTCCCAAATGGCCCACTTATTTTGGTTGGAAATTAATCCTTTTTTGGTTCGATTCGATTTCTTCGTTTCTATTTTTTTTGTTCCTAATTTTTATCCAATCCATCAATCTTGTAATATTTTTGCGGGATCTTTAGTGAATCGATTTGACCGTGTGTATTCAGTCATTTTACACAACCTTTTGAATTATGTCGTTGAAATCATAATCAAAATTTGAAAAAAAAAAATTGTGGATTGTATCTCCAAATCAATTTCAGTATTTGTGGAACATTTATGATTTTCCTAAAACATTTGAGTGAATGTTTCTGAAATGTCTGTTAGGTGATATTTCAATGATGCGTGGTTCAAATTTTTATAAATCATTGTGGTATAGAGTGGTATGATTGTGGATCTTTTTGAAATTGCACTGAAACTTGTGCGTGGAAATTTTTTGATTCGCATAGCAGCTTGGATATTCTTATGTGGAATAGTTCTTTTGTCTTCGAGAAAAATGAATTTGTGTGTAATATCTCTGCAATTGATCTGAAATGCCTCTGAGATTGTTCACAGTTTTCAGGTCGTGTGAATTGTCCATGGAATACAACTAAGATTGTGTGAGTATGATTGAATGACTCTGAAAGTGATGTGAGCCGTGAAACTTGTTGATTATTTTTTCTGAAATTCAGTGAAATCTCTCTGGAGTACATCTTGAAAAGGCTATTAAATTTGAATTGATCTTTTTAATAAATTATTATCTAACTAAATGTGAAATTTATCTGAAAAATAACATTGGAATGTAACTGAAGAAAATATGTGTACAAATTCAATAATGGAAGGATTACGTGACAATGCTAGTACCACAAGGCTGCAGTCCCAATCTCAAAATAGGGTGGACCGTGGATACGTGCGGAGTTTTCTTCATGCATAGCAGCTTGCATGATGAATCTGTTTTTCACTGCAAGCAAAGCACAACGATCCGTTCATGTCAAATATCGATCAACTGCAAACAACGATAAGAAATTCCATCTACACTCATCAACTATTCATCCATATGTGCATCATTCTTGGCTACTTGATTGAGACCCTCGTTCCAAACTTCTCAAGAGTCAAGACTAGCATCCCCTGCCCTACAAACTGCCAGGCACCGAGACCTCAAAATGTCAGGACTCTGAGCCAGCCATACCCTTTCACTCCCCTTCCCAAGAAGTGCACTCAGATTTTGGAATATATAGCCAGCAAGGCCCTCCGCTGAACCCCAGACTCCTCGCCCGCCACCAGGAAATCAAAAAGTTGCAGAATGCAGTTCAGAAGCACTTGCCATCTATTCTCTGAACTGGCGATCTGATCGGCAGGTCTGCTTGAATTTGGTTTACTTTGCTGAGGCACAAAATGATACGATTCTAATCCGTGCCGGGTTTTATCGCCGATCTTCTTTTTCTTTCTTTTATGGGTTGCAATCTCTCAGGCCACTGAACTCAGGTGTGTCGGCCTCGACCAACAAGAACCAACCCAAATCATTCACGATGTGCGACACTGAAGTGGCTAACACTCCAAAGTTTTCCAACCAAGTGTGATTGTGATATGTGACTCCTCACCCAACATTTTCAGATATATGCACGTACCCCTCTTTGCCTCCACTTGGACTGTGCTGGGTGTCACGGCTACTTATAGCATCTAGCTGGTGGCAGCCTGATTCCTACAAAAACATGATTACCAAGACACACCTGGAAGCAAACGAGTACCTTTTCATCAAACACCTAAAATCATGCTAAAACCAAAAATACATCGTCAACTGCCCCCGCTGGAAATAATGGTGTTATCATCTGCTTTAGCGCATCATATGCGGTACGGTTGCTGTCGTGTGGACCCGATCCCACATGTCATATGCACTACTGCACCGTCCAGTACTGCAGAGGATCCCGACCCACATCACACTTGTTTGGCCTACATGAGCATGAATGATTGAAACGCTTGCTCTCAAAATTGAACTGCATAGGATTGGAGGGAGCATATTTAAGCAGAACACTGACAGAAACCCTGAAACTAAATTTCATTCATGACAAATCTAGTGATATCATTTGAACCTGGCAAATTTAGAACGTTTCTTATTTTTCATGGCAATTCCCACACAATGTTTGCCATGTCATAACCCTCCATTTTGTGGCTTAGATTGCGCCGGTGCTAGAGGACAAGATGGCCACCCCTCTCCTCTTTCTTAAGATCGTTGCCCCGTTGATAATGAGATGGTCACATGGCAAAGCAATTGTTTAGCACAACTAGCGATTCTTGGCGCGCATCATCGGATAAGGCTAGCTGTTGCTGTCACGTCAGATTGGGGATTATTTATGCTGAATCCGATTGAGGAATGTCATTAACATCTATGATGATAATGTTGGTGAGGTAATGGCGCTGGCCCACCGACCCCAACGAGGCAAAACCCTCAGCCGCGTAGTGTTATTATACTACATGTAGATTGACACTGCTAATTATACCAAAGCTGGTTGATTGCAGTGGCCATCCCTTTCTTACATTTTGTGTTTTTGTGTGATGCAAGCTAAGGACAGTTATGGTTTTTTTTTAAGAAAGTACTGCTTTAGTAGTACAAAGTTATATTAAAGCAGCGACAATTACTATGGGTCGGAGGGAGTAGTAAAAGATTTAGCATTTTGATCGTAATGTTTACACAGTTTTGAGAATGTATAATGTATCTATGGCAACATGGATTACAAAAAGGCAACTGAAATGCAGAAAGTCCAACAGAAACAAAATCATCAGACAGCTAAAATGGAAGGCCACGACGCACCAAGTGTAGCTTGCAATAGAAAAATAGGTAGATATTGCAAGCTTTGCGGTTGCTGCTGCTTCCGTCCTTCCTTCCGATGATTGCCACCCCGGCCCCTACAGCCTACAAGAAAGTACAAACACCTTATTAAAGTGCCATGGCCCTGTAACTGGCCATGCCCTCCCTTCCTCCTCCCAAGAAAATCATTCAGAATTTTAGCATATAGGCAACACAAGGCCCTCTACTCTGCTGAACCCCAGACTCCTCACCAGAAACCAACCAGAAAATGGCGTTCAGAAGCTACTGCCATCCTCACCCTTCTTCCTCCGTGGCCACCACCGGCCCGAGACTCGGCGCAAGGAACCCGGCGGCAGCCTTGAGCTTCAGAACCTCTGCAGCCCATGAACGCAACCAGCCATCCTCGCACCTCTCCTTTGCTGCACCAACCAGCAACAAGGTACTATAAATTATCTTGCACTGGTCGGTGCACACTTGGATCATCCGTGTCTGTGCTTGATCCAAGGAGACATCTAGGTTTCCTCTCTGAATTGTTTTCCTTTTCGAGTAAATCCTCCCTGAACTGGTGATCTGATCGGCAGGTGTTCGAGGACCAGGTGAGAGGGATCGTGTGCTACAGGGACGACAAGGGGGAGCTCGTCTGCGAGGGCTACGATGAGGGCCCGAGGCTCGGAATGCGGCTGCCGGAGAAGGCCTGCTTCCCGTGGTGAGTTCAACTGATCATCTGTTTCTGAATGTTTATTTTCTCCTCTGTGTGCTGTTGCTTGGTAGGAGAAACCGAGAAAGAGGTGTTTGTTGCCTTGGTGGAAAATTCTCGTGTCTGATGATCAGCCTGAAACTTACTCATTTTGTGCTGTGAGAACAGGCCTGTGGGAGTCCAGGTCACCGATTTCATCCGTCTCGCGACGCTTCGGGTCTTCGAGGACGGCGCCGAGGACGGTCTTCTGCACAAGAACGATCAGAAGTGGCAGCTCTGAAGTGATCAAGGGGTGGGGGGACCGATCAAGTAAGAGCAATAACTGGAATAACCGGAGGAGCAGCCATGTGTGGCAAATGCCCTGCTTAACTAGCAGTGATATTTTATTCTGCAAACAGCTTGGTTAATATCACCACAATCACTTCTGCTTTGCTGTTGTTGTGTGCTAGCATACGAATCAGTTATATGACAGTGATGATCTTTTTATATGGAAACAGTTAGAAAGGTTTCTGAAAGGGCGAGATCTTGATACTACTTGCGTCGACGATGAAAAGATAGGTGGGGAGATCTGAATATCTGATCACTGCAACTACCCCGTTGCAATATGTGGCCTGTGACTGTGAGGTATCATCCTGTGTTCTCACTGGACAGAGAGTTAAAGAACTTTAGAAAGTGATTTTCGTCGAAACAAAAAACCACAACAACATTTCAGTTAGCAAAATTATGTCGACCATGGAAACAAACAGAGAAGAAAAACTATGTTCATCTCTCTCTCTCGCTTTTTTGAAATTAACTATGACTAGCGAATCAATCATCAACACTGATAATAGAGAGCCAAGTCGGTAGAACTCTCTCGTGGGTTTGCAGCTGGACGTTGTGTGCATGTCGCCATCATCGTGGACAGTCCAGACAGTAGGATCTCCTTAACCTCTTGCTGTTGCTGCACGCCGTGTCATCACCAATTATAAGCTTCAGCGTTACAAAACTCAGTGGACTTCGTACCCACTTGGGAACGCACGAACCACTTAGAAGATGTCATTATCTGGCCCCAACAGATCAGAAATTCAAAGAAAAGTTTTGCATTTACATTACTAAAAGGATCATCTGCATTTCAAATACAGTAGTAAAAACTGCTGATTGGTTGTACACCTCACAGATCCAAAAATCATCTGATTCAGTTGGATCATGACACAAACAGATTAACAGAACTTACTGAACATCTTGCCGAAATTAACGCGGTAACAGTTCAAGATTAACCTCTGAATTCTTGAGATCCAACGTACGTAGTTTAGATGCCTTGGTCGTAGGGGAAGGAGGTGGCGGCGAGCCAGTCGTCGCCGTAGATGAACTTGTCGACGGCGAACTGGGCGGCCTCGTCGTAGTCCATCTCGTGGAACCCGGCCCAGCCCACGCGCGCGCCCGTGCCGGCGCCGGCCCCCTCGTTCGCGTACTCCCCGAAGTACACCGTGTCGGCGCGGCCCGGCTCCGCGCCAGGCCAGCCTGTCCACCCGTCGCGGTCCACGAGCGGGCCCAGGAAGGACTCGATGACCACCGCCCGCGCGTACGCGCCCCACGGCCGGCCGAGGAAGGTGCGGGTGCCGACGCCGCTGGCGAGCAGCTCCGGCGAGGCCTCCACGGTGCAGTTGTGCACGGCGAAGCCCGTGTCCTGGTTCGGGTCGCCCCGGGACTGCGCCGTGAGCACGTTCGACTGGCCCGGGACCGGCGCGCCGGCGACGAGCGCGCACGCCTGGAGCACCGCGGCGGCGTTGCCGAAGGCGAGGTCCACCGTGCCGGAGAGGGCGCACTCGCGGTAGAACTGCCGGAAGGAGTGCGCGTAGAGCGCGTCCTGGTGGCCGTCGACGGCGCAGCGGTACGCCGCCGCCATGTCCGCGTTCACCCGCAGCGCCACCGCCTGCCCCCTTGCCGCGCCCGCCGTGTTGCGGAACGCGATGTCCCGCGCCAGGAACCCCTCGCCGGACACCCCTGCATGTTCATGCGTGCACGTCTGATCAGATCAGTCAATCCCGGCCGTTTGATCGTCGGTCTCGCTCGTCAGGACCGGAAGAATGATGTTTTTGTCGATGAGTTGTTGTCGAGCGAAGCTAGCTAGGGTTAAGTGTTAAGAGCGGCCAACATTCTGACAGGTGACAGGCATGCAGGTCCATGGTGGTGTTTCGGATTTTAGCTCGAGGAGCGAACACGAACACATGCATGTGATGGATCAATGGCATCCGACTCGACTCATGCACCTCCGGAATCTGGACCCGCATGCGCCCAAAAACGTAAATTTAGATAGATCTGCGTCAGGCCAGATTCCTAGGTGATGCATTATCCGTGCATGCATCATGTCCTACGCTTGACTATTCTCTCGCTGCTCAGAGTCAGTGAGTGAGCCTTGGTTACGTTACGTGTACGTGAAGAACAATGCCACAGTCCACAGACATCAGCAGCAGCGTGCGTGCGTGCATGCGTGCATGGCAACACGGAGCAATGTAGCGTGCGTGCGCACCGCGCTGACGCTATGCAGGTAGAGTTGGTTAGGATGTAATGATAGGCGATGATTACCGACGGTGGCGGTGCGGAAGGTGGTCCAGCCGTCGGCGGCGCTGCGGCTGCCGGTGATGACCGTCACGTCGCGGCCCTCGCCGACCAGGGCGATGTTCGTCTTGTACGGGGGCACCTCCACGTTCTCCACGTACGTCCCGGCCTTCACCTGGATCACCGTCCTCGCCTCGCTGTTGTTCGGCGCCGCGGCCACCGCCTCCCCCACCGTCCGGACGTTCCCCGACCCGTCCTTCGCCACCGTGATCACCGTGTCGCCGCTGCCGTTGTTGCCGTCGCTGTTGCCGCTGTCCTCGTTGTCGTTGCGGCTGTTGTCGTCGTCGTTGTCGTTGCGGCTGCTGTCGTCGTCGTCCCCATCGCTGTCTTCGTCGTCCTGGAGCAGGCGCCGGTTGTGGTGGATGATCTTGGCCACCGTGGCTTGGAAGCTGGCCGCGGACCCTCCACCGCCGCGGCGGGCGACGAGGGAGAGCGAGTTGGAGACGTGCTCGTAGGCGTCGTCGAGGGAGGCGAGCAGGCCGTCCATCCGCGGGCCGGAGGCGCCGGCGAGGCCGTCGAGGCAGGTGGCCTTGTTGGTGAGCGCGGCCGAGAGGTGCGCGCGCACCGAGGGGAGGCCCTCGCCGGGGACGCGAGCAGCGAGGCGGAGCGCGAGAGGGAGCCCAGCGTGGCGTCGTGGAGCTCGAGGCAGTCCTGCGCGGCGCCGCGCCGGAGCGGCGTCGTCGAGGACGACGGGGCCGAGAGCGTGGAGGAGAGGACGGGGGAGAGGGAGGAGACGGCCGAGAGCGCACCGCGGAGGGAGGCGAGCGCGACCGAGAGGATGCTCGCCGGGAGGAGGGGGACGGTGATGGACGACGCCAGGAGATGGGCCGTGGCGGCGTCGAGGTGCACGGCGGCCGACGCGAGGCACGACGCCGGGTGTGGGGTGGTGCTGCAGATGGCGTGGACGGTGGCTAGCGGGGAAAAGGCGGTCTTGGCGGCGTGGCCGTGGTCTTTCTGAGGGCGGCATTGGGCTGTGGTGGCAGTGGCGACGAGGACCACAAGGATGGAGATGAGGAGAGCTGGCGAGAGAGCAGCCATGCCGGCCGGGAAGAGTGTGCGAGTATCTGCAGTGAGCTAGAAATGGGTAGGCAGAGACATATATAAGCTCTCATGGTTTGTGAGTTGTGCTTGCGCGAATGCTAAGAGCATTTCCAGCCGTTGGCCCCCTAAGAGACGCTAAAAATCGCCGCCTGAAGACGTACCGACGTTAAGCAAGGCGTAAATTTAACCAAACTTCGGCGAGTTCATAAAATATTTTACAAAAGAAGGAAAAAAAAACACTACTAGACAAGCCGTCGCCGTCGCCGTTCCTTACCGCCCGCCGTCCTGAAGCTCTACATGCCGAGGAGCCTGTAGAACTGCGTGTGGTCGCCGCTGTCGTCGTCGTCGTCGCCTCCTTCGCGGGCCGCCGTCCCTGCTGCTCCCCTGCCCAGGGTCGCCAACGCGCGGCAGGTTGGACGGTCCGGGGGCGTCCTCGTCCTCGCCGCTGTCGAGGATCACCATGACGTGCTCGTCCTCGCGCCCACGCTGGCGGGCGGCTATCTCCTGCAGGGCTCGGCGCTGCCGGACCATCTCGTCGTGGAGGTAGTCGTCCCGCGCCCACTTGAGGGCGGCCTCGTCGGAGAAGCCGGACCAGGCTATGGCCTCGTACTCCGCGGGGAGGCTGGACTCCACCTTCGACCTAACGAGGCGGGCGGAGGCGGGGAAGAACTCGGCGATGCGGACGCCGCAGCTACGGGTGCGCCGGCTGATCGGCGCGTCCTGGGGCTCCGGCTTGACGGAGAGGAGGGAGGGAGAGCCGTCGGACGAGGAGGAGGATGCCGGGTCCATGCGGCGTGGCGTCCACGAGCTCCCACGCCGGCGGGAGAAGGTAGAGGGAGCGGGATACTCCAGCCTCGGCGTGTTGCCGCCCTCGATGTGCTCGAGGATGGCCTGCAGCGTGCGGCTGGGCACGCCCCACCATCGGCGGCGCCCGTCGGCGTTGAGCCTCCCGGAGGGGATGACGCCGTTGGTGGCCTCGAGCTGCTCGTTATAGCAGCGACGAAAGTACGGCTCCCACATCGAGCTGTCGGGGGTGTACCTCGGCCCTTCTCTCGCCGCCTGCGGCAGAGAGGCATGGATACGGGCGATCTCCGCACGACGTGCCGCCCCGGTGGGCGGCGGTGGCACCGGGACCATGCCGGCGCTTATCCTCCACGCTCCGGGCACCCGCATGTCCGGCGGGACCGGGTACTCGGCCTCATAGAGAAGCCGGGGTTCGTCCTCGTGAAGGTGGCGTCGGCCGAAGCCGTTCGTCGCCGCGCCATCGCCTGGGTAGCGCTCGGCCATTGGGTGAAGTGGAAACGACGAGAAGAGAGGAAGGAACGGAGGTGTCGGCGGTGGAGAGCGAGGTCTGTGAGTGGCTCACCGGTGTGGGAGGGGGCGACTTATATAGGCGGCGCCCGCGTGGCCGCCGTGTGTACGCGTGGCGGGCGAGGGACGCGCATCGCCCCGCCTTCACTGCGCCGCCCGTGAGGGATCAATGGAGGCTGATCGGCGCGGCAGCGCGCGGCAGCTTTGGCATTGATTCCCCGCGGGAACCGAGGCGATGAGGACGACGAAGCGACGAGAACAGCCGAGTCGCTGCCAAGGAGGGCCTGTCGATTCTCGCGTTAAAAACGATTCGGCCGGCGCCCCCAAGCG